AGAATCTAATGACATTTGAAACCGAGTGCTAAAAAAACTTAACTCCAATGTACTTTTTTATTTATTTTAATATTTACATCTTGTTTTATTAGCCATCTGTGTGCTTCTGTAAATAAAGATTTACCAAATAGTCCTTATAGCAAAACACAGCATTTTACCAATAGCTGTTATGTATCTTGCAAAAATGCTTCTGTGCTCTGATACTCTATTCAGGCAATAAAATGTCAGATATTGATGTGGTATGATTGGGGCAGTTATATTCCCTGAAAAAGCAAAATAAAAAGCATGAAGTGTCTGAGCATGTTCATGTTCTAGGGATGGGGAACAGCAGTAGCTTGTCTTAATACTTTATTTATCAATAGTTTTCAAAATGCGTCTGGTGGACTGAGCAAGGGAGTAAGATTTTGTCCCGTGTCCAATGTTAACATATTAGTCAAGTTAAGATGATACATGTATTAATTACATGCCTAAAGTTAAGTCTGAAAGCTGCACAATTTACCTGGTTCTTTAAAAAAAATTAAAAAAATCAATGGAACTGCTAAGACTGTGTCATTCTGAACGTAATCTTCACCTTTTTGTGACTCTGAATGCTGGAGAGGGTAATAATTACCCATCATCAGAGAGAGATCATGTGAATGAATTTCCATTGTGCTATATTGTGTAGCTTATTACCACAGCTCTGGATCATTCAGACCTGCTAAGCGGTATCTTCATGTCATATCAGATAATAATCTAGCAGGGTACAAGGAAATTAATTTTGTAAAAGATTATTATATGTGAGTGGTTGGTGTCAGTGTTAATGTTGATGTGTTTAGGGCTTTGTGCAAACAACAGTTATTCTTTGCAATGCTGACTTGAAATAGGTGATTAAGTATTATAAAACTTTTTATACAGATGGGAAAAGAGCTTAAGCAACCACTGTAATAGGACCTCTTGCCTTTTCCAGCCTATTCTCCTTCTTCAAGACAACCCTAATTCCTCCATTATAAAGCACTGGGAGCCAAATGTGACCTTACCTATTTCAATTCCTTGAATACCTTTAGTGAGTAGGTGCAGGCTCCTCAGTCCAGGGCATGCCTAAGACAAAGCTGAGACATTTGGGCTGGAAGGGAGCCATGCCACAGCCTGACCAAGACCATGATCAGGCAGTCAGAAAGTAGGATGGCTGAGCATGCTGTAAGTGTACCTGCCCAGCCACCTGCACAGGGCTGCTAAAATTACTAAGCCCTTTTGAGCAGTCAGTTGCTGTTCCATGTTAGTGTATTACAATCCATCACAGGAACATTTTTCTTCCATCTTAAATCCCTAGGTGCTACAGGAAAATCTGAGTCATCTTTACAACCCTCATTTAAACAAATGGTCTTTAACTTCCAGAAATTACCAAAATTAAGGCTATGGTACCTCCTGCTGCCTCCAGGAAGAGAAGATCAGGTATTGTTTTGTATTTTCTAAAGAAAAATCTTAACAGTTTTCTGGATTTTTTTAGTTCTCTTATGTTGCTTACTGCCATGGAATTTAGAGGTGATTGCTTGGCCAGAAGCCCCAGTATTGTGTTTCCCCAAGAAAAAGCCCATAAAAGATGGTTTTTTTTAAAACCTTGATTTTGTTAATGCATTTAATGAGTCAAATTGTATTTAATTTTCTTTGTATGTTCCTGAGATTGCATACATAAATAATTTTCTGAGCATAAGATACAATAGCTGTGTCCTGTTAACTGTGTATATTGAGGACATGCTCCTGACAAGCTATGCTGTAGCTACACATTTGCCCAGCAGCACTATTTCAAGAGCATATGTTTTTGAACTTCCATGTCTTTTGAGTGCCAGCATGCAGAAGAGGACTCTTTCAAGCCAAACAAACTTGAAACAAGCAGGCAGCTCAGGAGACTATTCCTGCAGGGTTCAGAGAATAAAGTATACACAAGGCCTGGAGCTTTCACTGCTTAAATCAGAACCTTGCACCCCAACATCAAATAGGACATCTGGGGTAGGAGCTCTTCAGGAGCTTTCTCATCCCCATCCATGAGGGTGGAAGGAAAAGGCATTGATTTTCTGTAAATTGACTTCTAGGCAAAGTAAGTCTGTCCCAGGATAGATAATATCAACCTTATAATATATATTACTGCATTTTGCAATACAAATGGCAATGTATTGTAAGTCTTGAAGTCAAGCAAAAGTAGGATTCCTGAGTCTGCTACCTCTGAGCATAGTGCAGTCAGTCAAATTTTTTAACACAGAGAAGTATTTTTGATTGAATAGTCTGTAACACCAGCCTTCAGGTGACACAGTGCTGTAGTTTGCAGGTAGAATTGCTTCAAAGCCTGCAAACTTTTCTGCTTACGTTGAGAGAAATACAACGTTGCAATTACAGGTAATTATCCAATCCCACCTCTTTTGACCTATCCAAAATTGCCGATACCATGGACCGTCTCATTGCTTAAGTTTTTTTCTCTTTAATTAAGATGAAATAAAGTGGCCACAATTGTTTCTTCATTTTCTTCCTGTTCTTGCTCTTTGTATTAAAATAACTAGTAGAAGCTGATGGAAAATTGCGTTTGGGTAGATTTAGTTCTGGTTCATACAGGCAACTAGTTTAGTTGATTGGGATAGTTCAAGGACAAAACCTTCCTAATATGGGTTAATTTGATTTTTTTTCACTGAAATGTTCGCAAAATTGTGTTGCCTCAAAGTTTGGGCTGGCTAAGAATACACACAATGCCAGCTCTGAACAGTTACTTAGCTGGTTAATGCCATGGTGCTGACAAGCCATTTTTCTGTGCAGGTCCACCAACCCGTAGGAAGGGTTCATCTCCCCTCAGGTTAGTAATCTGTTAACAAATACACACTTGTACAGTATCCCACCTGGCTTCAGTAGAGTAGATTAATGTCTGCAGCTGGTTATCTGGTCACATAAGAGCCTATGATGGCTAACTTTGACTAGATAACTTTATTTTAGATGGGTAAAATTAAGCAATACCATCCTGAGTTAAATAGGAAAAAAAATAGCTCTTGATGAGGATTAATAACATTTATACATGACTAGCTATGTCACAGTAACTCATGTTTTTAAGATATGTAGAGAAGACCCTGTATGTATTATAGATCCTATACCCTGTAGGAAAAGAATAAACTATCATGACATAAAACACCTGGATCACGGTATCTGATTTCTGGGCAGAGACAATTTTGTGTCAGTTTTCCTTAGTCTGGCAGACTATAACTTGCAGTGGTTCAACAGTTGACTTGATAAATCTGAGCTGTCTCAGTGTAGAAATAAGATTTCGGAGAGAATTTTACTGTCCAATTTTACTCTGCTGACTTTGAGAAAGAAACCCTGAGACAAAGGACTGATGATGTCCTACATTTGAAATATTTGTATCTAGCTTCCTGCTGGTTTCTTTTTAAAAGCAACAGCTGAGACTAATTTTAGAAAGAATGGATATAATATTGCCTACATGTATGTCAGCTGAAGAGGTTGTCTGTACAGTATTTCTACCTGTTTTGGATACACATTTACAGCAGGAACTCACCCAAGATCAGAAGGAGGATGAGAAGCATTTGCATTGGGATCCAAGAGAAAACGTTTCTGTGTGAATACTGAATTACTTTCCATCTCCAAAACAGGGTAGCCCATCTGCCTAGTCCATGTGTCCATGACTTCCTTCACAGGTTTATTACTTGCCTATGAATGATGGGAGAAGATTGCAGTAAAAAAGCAAATTCAGTCCAAAGAGGAAAAAAGTAATATCTCCAATACTGAGAGGAAGAAGAGCAGAAAGGGGCAGAGGAAAGAGCAAGTTGAGTAAAAAAATGCTCCATTAAATCCTTTTATGGTGTTTTTCACTGAAAGAAGGAATGAGCTAGAAATTTGGATGGAGGAAATGAGAAATATGTGGGTAGGAGACTGGCCAGTAACATGGACAAGAAATACTGTTGAACCTTTGAGGCCCCTTGCAGGCTCTAAGATCCCTCCACTTTTTTCTGAGAAAATAATGGAACAGGACAGAAAGGACATAAAAAGACTTTTCAAAGCTGCAAATCTCCTTGCAGCATGCCCTGCTTTGGCTGTGAAGTTGAAGCCAGTATTAACCACCAGCAGCTGCACTAATGTAAAATTTGATCCATTCTGTGGCTTGGGAACTTCTGTCCTAGAGACTGGAGCTGGAGAAAGATGTGACTGCCCTCCCAGGCTGCCACCTGTGAGGGAAGGGAGCTAGGATCACTATTTCCTTCTTCATAGGAGGTAGATGATGTGAAGATGCAGAGCACCAGAGAGAGAGCAGGAAGAAGTTCTGCTGAGCAGGAAGAAGTTTGAGACCAAGGAGAAGGTGGGAACTTGAAAGGAGACACAAAGCGCAACTTGGGCTGTGTGAGCGTCCACAGTGGTGAAAGGAAAGGAAATGTTATCAAGGGAAGAACCTGATAGTATGCAGGTGGGGTTTTGGGGGTAATGAGGTGGAAAGAAATAGCCCAGCCTCAAAGAAAAGGAAAGATCAGAAAATGGTGGCACAGAGAATGACACAACTAGAACTCAGAAGCCAGAGACAGAGATAAGCACCAAAATTACTTGGGAATAGATACTGTAGAGAGCTTTCAAACACCTGAATCTGTTTAGAGATAAGGGAGGGGATGGGATGCATGTGTGAGGCATGCATGAGTTTGAGTTTTGGGGGTAATGTTTCAGTAGCAGGCTGTTAGTAAGGTCTGCTTTCTTGTTTCTTATTCCACTTCTACAGTCTTATGCCAAAAAAACGAGATAATAATATATATTTTCTAGAAAAAGATGCATTGGAATATACTGGGAGGCTGCCTAGCTTGTGATTTCCTATTGACACAAGAGATACAGAATATAAAAGGTTAGGGAAACTGAGATCAGTGGGCGAGATATGCAACATTAATTAGGAACAGCTTGGGTTGCTGCAAAACATACCTCTTCCAGAGCTTCCCAAAATTGTTGTGTCTTGGCATTCTGGAAATGGTGGTTCTTCAAATATGCCTAGAGAGAGGTAGAAGACTGTGAAAATACTAGCAGGTCTTTGTTCTGTGCCTATGAAAACAATACACATATTCAAACAGGATCAGTGTAGTAGTGTGAGTAGGAGGTTAATAATCAGATCATGAAGTTCATTTGCTTTACAGTGTATCCTGTAATTCTAAAAATCAGCATTTTCCAGTGTGACTTGCTAGTATGAAATAAATTTGTACTTGAAGAGTCCTTTGTCTTTGTTTGAATGGACACCAGCATACCCTGTTGCAAATTTCTGTCTAACATAAGAGGTTGTTTAGAAGAAAGAAGCCATTTCAGGAGACTTCCCTAGCTGTGAACTGAGAGTGGATGTAGGGAAGTCTGGTCATCTCTGAGTTGTCATCGAAATTTCTATTACAAGGAATAATGGTATCTGGCTAAGTGTTTGCACCTACTGCACACTATTCCTGTCCTGTGTCTTACCTGGTTGCCTAACGAGTGCTTTCCTACCCTGCTGTCTGGATCCCGGTGATGTTTAGTCAGTAGATGGTGCTGTTTGTTTCACTGTTAGCCAGGGCTACCTACTTTAATGTTCTTGAAGGCTCTGAGTAGAGGGGAGTTATTAGTCTCTCGTGGACAAGGAAGCTGTATTTTGCCATCTTGTGGAACTGCTCTGACTGACTATATGAAAGGAAAAATAAAGGAAAATACCACTGTCTTCTAACAGCCCATAAATGTGCTCTGCAGGAGGGAGAGAGGTATGAACAAATGTGGTAAATCTGTGCTGTAACTCTTCAGAGACGACAGATGTTGGTTCAGAGGAAAGGACAGATAACTTTCCTCTTTCTGGGAGAGCTCATTTCTCCCATTTTTTCTTTCCACAATTTTGTAACATCCTGTTTTTTCCTCCACGAGAAAGGACTATGAACTACGCAACATCTGTCTTTTCTACTCCCCACTACCTTGGTGCTCTAAAGTTGGGTTGGCATCAAGTTTCAGGGCATGGATAAGCTTGCAGGATGTAAGAGTGCACAGAAGACTTGGACAAATTGGAGGACTGTGGCCATATGAAGCTGCATACAACCAAGTGAGGGATCCTAGCTGACAACAGGGTAACAGCAGGGTGGTGGATGTGTCTCCACTAAAAGCTGTGATGCATTTATGTGCTCACTGCCAGGCTATCAAGTCTTTGTGCAGTTCACATTCTTGCTTCTGTGGGAGTGTGAAACTTCTTCCTCTTGTTGCCCACTCATTACTGAAATGAACTAAATACTTTTGCTATTAATACCAGGATCTCTAATATTAACTTTTTGCATAATGGCTTTGCTACTGTCACACGAAGATGGGCTGTATTTCTGGCGTGTTTTGGTGCCACCCTTACCTGACAGCCTTTCTGGAAGAGATCTGGTGTAATCCAGTCCCTAATCATTCTGAGGATTGATGCACCCTGAGGACAAAGGGAAAAAGAAGGTCATTTCATGCTGCTCTAACATTGAATTTCTGTTCCCCAAAAAAGTAACATGTGAACGAGTATGTTATAAGGTAAAAATAGAAACCATGCATCTGACTGAGGAAGTGGCTTTTTTAGTTCCTTTGTGGCACAACATGCCTGGAGCTTAATTCTGGATGTGAGTGTTGGTCTTTAGCTGTGATCAGACGTCCAATTCCAAGTCCAGCTGTGCCAGTGGAAGGGTTCCTGAACCCTGCTGCTGGGTGTGACTGTCCTGCCCTTCTGCCAGTTTGTGTGAGCAGGGCTCCCCATTTCACTTTGAGCAAGAGAGGGGTGTGGGCAGCTGAGGAACTAGTCCTGACCAGCAGCACAACCTGATAAAGAAAGTGACTTCTGCTGTGACAAGTAGGGAACTCCAAAAATGCTGCAAATCTGGGACTTTACGTGTTGGGGCTGCCATCTCAAGAATCAGAATGAGTTTCCTTAAGGAGTGGTGTAAGAACTTTGGTCTCTGAAGCAGGGTAGAATTGGGACCAGAGAAGTTACTTACTTATAGGACCTTGAAAGAAGAAAGAAACAAATGGAAGACAGGAGAAAGAAGCAGAAGAGTCACGTGGAACAAAGAACAGAATGGGCACAAAATGATGAAAAACAAAAGCACTGCAAACCCAATCTAAAATGCAAAATATGATTTTAGGATTAGCATGTTTTCATTTTCTCAACTAAATGAAAATGCAACTGAGAGCCTAATTCTATGAATGGCTTAAAAATCCAGTTGTCTCATGTTATCTGAATTCTCAGTAAATCCTGTCTCCCCTATTTATGTGTCTGAGAATAATTTGACTGCACGAGTCATGACAGAGGAGCTGTTTGAACAGATATTCCTCAAAATGCTCTTCAGACTATTGGTGTGGAGTCAAGGTGATCAGCAGATGACACTTTCCTGATACAGAAATTTAATGTGTTTGCCAGGAAATATGTTCAAAAACCACCCAGTAGGATTTAGAACAGATATCCATTAGTGGTAATCATAAGGCTGCTTATGATTAATGGTGATCATAAGGCCGTGTGTATGCACTAAGGTACCTCAGTTCGTCAACTTTGTTTATCAGCCACTTCTTATCTGATATCACCTCTCATAGACCATCTCCTCCCATTTATATTAAAAGTCAGAGTAGAAGTACGCTCTTGTGCATACATTTGGGAACAGCAGAAATTTCTTTTTGCTTTAAACTGCAATGTATATTTAGGCCCTTGCATCTTCCAGTACTGCTTTTCAGTCTTTTCCCCTTACTCTTGTCACTTCTTTGGTTCATGATGGAGTGCATTTGAAAAAAACTCATCCTAACAAAATCACTCGTTACATGAACTCCAGTGTTTTCATAACTTTCCTTTCTTTCAACTATTTGGGGAGGTTTAGGAAAGTGACCTTGTTTTAAATAGCTGATCTTGTCTGATGGGAATATGGGGGGGAGTCTTTTACCAACATCCACATAACTTCTAGAGAGATGTAGTAATTGCTAAGTGTATGACAAGACTGTATGTGGCAGAAATGTGGAATGTTTAAACCTAAGCTTCTTTACCTGGGAAGTTTCAAAAATGTGGGGGTCCAGGAAAGAATTTCTAGTAGAATTAATTTAAGTATCTGTTTTGTGAAAAGGTAATCAATGTTTGAACTCCAAAAAATCTCATTGTTACTTTAATACAATATTTCAAACTAAGAGAGAGCATTAAACTGAAAAACATGTGAGATGGAATTGCTTTTTAAGAGCAAATTTAAAAAACTGTGTGCATTAATTGTGTAGTCACTTGCTTTAGTAGAGCTTTTCTAGGCTTGTAATGCCCTGCTGATCATACCTCAGTTAGAGGTTCCCTTACAGAAAACACTGCAATGACTCCACAGACCCTTAAGCAATTCATAAGACTTTTAGGATTGTATAAGCCCTGTAATTGCTCTAGTAAAACTAACAAAGAGCATTCCAAATTGTGCTTTATTTGTTTAGTGATGAGTATTATCATGAGGACATTGTTTTTATAACAAAAATGCAAAAGACAAGCCAAAATAAAGCCGAAAAGAAACAAGTTAATTTTGTCATGCGTTTATATATAAATACTAACAGTAATTTGAGCTAAATGTACATGAATACTTTCTCATTCAAGCCAAATTATATCCCAAGCAGACTGTTCCCAAACAATGCCCGAGTCCTCAAGTGTTTTTGCTTAAAAAAATTGAGTTAATGTAGCAAATATCTAGGCACAAATAGATGAGTAAAAGCTAGGATTTTTTTTCTCCATTGTTTTCTCAGACCATACAAAAGCATGTCTCTTAGCTCACCACTGAAATACATTTTGGTTCAGAGTATTTGATTTAGCTCTGTATGTTTCTTGACTTTTACTAGTTTGATTTAAGAACAGTATTACACAATGTAGGTTTTTTCACATGGTTTATGATTTGACTGTGAGGCATTTATGATGCAATAAATACTGGTTGTATTGTTGGCTAGAGGATTTAGCAATCGAAAACAGAAAACTGATGGAAATTGGTGGATCAAGTCTAGCTGATAGAAGTAATATCTACAGCTACAGACTCTAGCACTGGTAAAGATAAAGTCAATGCAATACATACTTTATGTTTAGTAGATAACGGGAGCTTGGAGGGAAAGCAAGAAACAGGATTTAATAACAGTGGACTTTCAGTGTTCAGTGGAAACTTGTTATGGCATCAGATAGGAAACACCAACAGCCATACAAGAAACTGTCAACAGAAACGGTTGGACATGATGATCTCAGAGGTCTTTTCCAACCGAGCGATTCTGTGATTCTGTGATTCTGTGTGAAACATGGTGTATCAGCGTCAGAACCAACATGAGAGATGACTGGTGGAGGAGAGAGTGAAGAGACCCAGCTCCTCCCTCATCTTGGCGGCATATGTGGTGGTGAGAGGGAAGAGGGCCAGGGGTGTTTCCTCTTGTGCTTCTTCAAGTTGTCCCTAATGCACTGACAAAAATAACTAGAAGCAACAGTGTTGTCAGGGCACGTGAGTCAAGGGACTCCTTGGTTAGATACTAGTGAGTCTGGAGAGACCTGCTTTGTTCCGTCTCTAAGGGTTGCCTAAGGACAAAACGGCTTTGGCTATATCTGAGATGGAGGGAGACAAGCTGGCTTCAGCCACCTAGCCTGGATCCTGCTGATCACATCAAAGCGGCGACCTTTAGCACAGCTGCTGACCTTTCTAATGCTCTGGACCTCACAGCACTTTTCCACAAGTGCTGAGGTCTTGACTGTCACCCTGCGCAGCTACAGTACTACCAGAGGACGTGGGTTCAGGGAGGCCTCTGTGTGCCCTGATCACAACAGTGGTTGGACATCATTAGCAACCTGGTGTCTTGCTGCTCAGACAGACCCAGGGGATTCTTCCAATCAGTTGCAGCTGGCTCCTGAGAGAGCCCTTATAGGCACAAGTCCCCACCACCACTGACAGAGACAGCCCCAGGATGAGCAAAAAGCTTGTCAGAAACCTAATAGGGTGTCCTCTACCACCTCCTGGGCTGCAAACTACTGTACTTCAAGTCAGTCCTAAGCTCCACAACTCTCAGTGAAATGTGGAGCTGACATCTCCCAGTTTCTGGCCAGTGTCAGTAGAGGCTGATGTAGCCTATCTTTGCTAAGGCTTCTTGGGTGACAGGGATACTATGAACAGCATGAAACAAAAAGTTACTTTCCTGTTTTCACTGCTTGGTTTCTTGCCTTGCTTCCTCAAAGCAGTTGCACGGTCCTGAAGGTGTGATGGGGAAGTGAGAGTGAGGACACCTGGGCATTTGTTCTTGCATCATCTGCCTTTGCATTACGCTTGACATAACTGGGCTGCAACAGCACATAAGGTGATGGGAGAGGGATGTGCTCACTCTCTGGTTTAGGATAATTTTAAAACCAACAACTCTAGTGGCAGAAGCTGCTGGCACTGTGATTTCCCTGCACCTCTGCATGCTGTGAGCAGGTTACATAGCACACAGAGGCTGACCGAGGCTCCAGCTGCATTGCTCCTCTCACAGTTGGTTTTGACTGACAACATTCGGGAATGTCCCAGAAAAAAGATCTGCACAAGCATAGCCCAAGTGAGTTAGCAGTTACGATTATGAGCTCCCCTTTTATCTCTTCTCCCAAGCCTCTACTTTCTTTGCATCCAAAGTCACAACAGGAAGATATCCTACCTTACTGTAGGATATCCCGTCAAACACAGAGGTGATTTCAGCTGGAGATGACACATCGACCACAATTGGGTGGGAAGACAGCAAAGAGTCATCCTTCATTACAGGAAGCACATCATCAATTAAAACCTGTTCAAGCTGAGAAAGAAAATATGTCAGCATAAAAACAAAGGCAGGAGTATACTCCTAACTTCACAAAATAAATAATTTGAACTGCAGCTTCTCTAGGGGGAGGCAGTTGGATGAAATTTTACCTACTCTAAAGAACTACTTGCAAACTCTTTACATCTGAGAGGGGAGGGATAATTTTTTTCCTTAACTAACATACATTGTCTTTTACAAATCCTGTTTTCCCATGTGTATCATAACATGAAAAACTCCACAGTAGGCAAAAAAGGGAGCCTGTATTACCAATTTCAGAAGTATGACAATATCTGCAAAGCACCATGGGCTCCTCTTGCAAAAATGGAGTTGGAAGGGAAGGAGGGAGGAAGAAGGTAGCTTTCCCCATCCCAAAGTTTATAACTTTTAAAGAGTGATTTTTTTTTTAAATTAATAAATAAATGAATAAAGAATAAATTTCTATTTAGTTTTCATCTTCTAATACTCACTAGGACAATAACACTGAAATGGCTTTAGATCTTAAAAGAGCATGGTGTCTAGATATGAAAAGGTCTTTTAAATTTTAAGCTCAGTAATTAAAATTATTCTTACATAGTTAGCACAACAGATCCTCTACTTCAAAGTGTAAAAGAAGTGAGCTAGGAATGAATTTGTTCTCAGCCTCACACAACGTGCATGAGAAAAGATATTTATGGGGAGCAGGGAGGGTTGCAGGGGAAGCACCAAGTAGACACTGCCTACTTCTAAAGTCGCTGGTCTCGGGGGCTAGTAGGTTTTGACAACGGACTCAACCTATGCAAAACCTACCGTGCTTCCTTCTACTGGTGTATATTAGATATTTTCTAGTAGCCAGAATCTCATTGCACCCGGACAGGTGGGGGAAATATGCTGCTATGTGCCATCACGTCTCTTTGGGAGGTGAATAAGGAAAGAGCAAGAAACTTACCTTTATTCACACACTGTTATCATTCCTCAGTCTATAATGGTAATTAAGATTACCCTCTTTGTCTGCAACCCCCTAAAGTGACTGGACCTGGTTTTGTTGCACAGTTAGTGATGTGGGCCATCCACTATCTTTACCTATTTTTGCACTGTGTGGAGCAGAGATTGTTTGAGTTGGAGCATTTGAAATGACACATAAAATGATGGCAGCAGCTGGATGCGGGGTCTGACATTTTCCTTGACAAATAGCCCAAGCTGTGGAGATGGGACCAGGTTCCCAATCCTCACTAGGTCAGATAAAGATCCTAGGACATATCCCATGAAGAAACACTACAGTCCAACAAAATAAATAAAGGGAATCATCTTTAAACAACCTTGTAAAATTGGTAAGGCTCTGTCTAGAATCCACCTAGGTATTATTTGCCATAATAATAACCTAACACATCCCTCACTTGATAAAAAGGAATAACTCTTCTTTGCAGACTAAAACTTTACAAAGTTTACTTTGACTAGTTTCAGACCATAAAATAAGAAGGTGGAAAAGCTTAAACCAACTTTTTCTTTCTGCACCATGTTAGTTTTCTGTAAATATGTATACTTTGATCGTCCCTGTCTAATTTTTACTCCCTTCCAAGATGCTCCCCCCAGCCCCATCAACCTTCCACAAGACAGAAATAATTACCATTTGCCAGTCAGGTTCTGCAGCATTTACTCCCAGGAACTCAAAATAACTGGCAAATCCTTCATTTAACCACAAGTCATCCCACCAGTCCATGGTCACGATATTTCCAAACCACTACAATTATAAACATTGAAAGATGTAGTGTTAGCTAAATGGTAAATGTACATTTCAGTATCTCACATCTCCACATAGAACATGCATTTGTTCCCTTTTCTTCCTGTTGCCAGATGAAAATTATAATAATTCTGGGGTTTAAATAGGAATTCAGGCCTCATCTTGTGTTAAAACACCACTTTTATTATAAAATTACATATTACTGGGGAGATTGCTAATGACTCATGTGCCACTGAAAATATTTTTAGTTTCTTCCTCTTGATTTGATGATTTGTGCTTGCAAGGATGTTTTCAGACAGCCTCCACAGTGTATAGTTGTCCCTATTTGCTTGCCCAAAAGAGACATCTGTACATGCAAATTAGTTCTTTTAAGACATTTCAGACAGATTTTTAGAAGATGGCTCATAGTCTGGACCCAAGCATCTCACTTCCTGAGAAAAATTCAAAGGCAGTAGTTCTGGTACTTTAAAGCTCTAATGGGGAACTGTTTTAACATGGTATTTTTCAATCAATTTGTGAGCACATGTAGAAGATTCTGAGATGGAGTTAATGACAGTATTTTCAAGATTAAAATGCTGCAACTACACCTTTGAAGCACTGTAAAAATTAATCATGTCCTCAAATGTACCTGATGAACGAGCTCATGGGCTACCACAGCAGCTACTCTCTGTTTGTTGGAAGTGGCCGACTCTTTGGGATCATACAGCAGGTTTGTTTCTCTGTATGTGATCAGCCCCCAGTTCTCCATAGCACCCGTCCCGAAATCTGGAATAGCTATTTTATCTACATTGAAAGAAACAGAACATGATTACCACTGCATCCCTTAAGCAACTTAGCCTGTCCTCTTTCTGCATATTTACAGCTTGTTTTGCTTACCATTTGTGATTCTGACTTGCTGCTGTGGATGCAGTCTATAACCTATGCTTAAGAAGCAGGGGACTGGCCTACAGCAGCTGATGGTAAGCATCCTGGCTCTGCTTAGATTAATAGAGCGAGGATCAATTGCACAAACTCAGGATCTGCTCTGCAAGGTGAGGCTATGCCACCTCCTGGGAATGTGCGTATCATACATTACTTAATTTTGGATTCAGAAATTAATAGTATTGTCTGGGGATGTGCCGTAGGCAGTAAACCTCCTGGAAGTATCTGTAGCATAATGAGGCATGTCATTGTTTGTCACACTGTTGTATTAAAAATATTTATTGACATGTTAACTGAACTAAATCCCCCATGCAGTGAACAACATCTGCTTCTACTCCCAGTAATTTGTGAGGGTCACTCATTTATGGACAGTAATCAATATCAGTTTAAATGAGAATTGCAGAATCCATTGGACTCGCATTTCCTTCTGCAAATAATGACCCCAGCCTTTCTGTGGGGGGTTAGTGTAAAAGTACAGATTGATTTAAAACTGAATAGAACAAATAGCCCTCACTCCACCCTAACAGAAGATAGGAATTACTTATTTTAATTTAAACAACTTGATTACAGAATCAATGCTGGTAGTCTGGCAAGGACTTCACTGAGAGTCAAAATGAGGATCACAAGTAGAGTGGCAATGCCAGAAGCCATAAATCAATGTGAAATACAATATTTAAATAAACTATTATGCAGAAACATATTTGAATAATCAGATTTTATCTAGATGACTTCTAATACTGAGGGAACAATATAGTAAGTCAAAATTTGTGATCCAACAAATAGACATTCTGAGAAAAACAATATAAAATCTACAACATCTACACTCTGATGCTGCTGACCTGAGGTATCAGTTCACCCTGTAGTGTAGACAGGCCCCTATTCATATGCTGACATGGCAAAGTCGTAAGGCTTTTATGGAAATGAAAGTCTGAATATTAAGCATAGGTGAGACATAGTTTCAATTACTACTAAGGACCAGTGTGTGAAAGAACAATATGTTGAACTGGTTTCCCCAGTTCAGTTGTCGTCAAAAAGCAAACAGATATTTACAGTAAATTCAGATGATGTTTTGAAAGGTTAAAGTAAAAATGTATTATTAAAGTAATACAGGTTAGCCTGATAGGTACATGTATGAATAGCCAAGAAATGATTTGCATAGCATTCTTAATAATCTTCAAAATGATTTGGTTTGTTTGTTTGTTTGTTCATTTTTCCAGTTACATTTTCTTAACCTGTTTGTAGTCAAGATTTTTCCTTCCTTTTGAGTTCATGAACTTAACTGAATTACCTCTTCGGAGGTCTTAGGAGAGTGCATTTCCAAAACTCTGATTACGTTCCAATCTTTATTAGTTCAAACTGCACAAATCAGATCCAGAGTCCAGATAGCCCAAGCTAAAGGATGCCCAAGTACACTACTTTTTTATTTGCTTATTTTATAACCATGGGCAAAATCTGATAGTGTTCTAACTCTTGTTTACCTCTGAATCTTTATTTAGCCCAGCTAAATACAAATTATATACTGGACCACATTCATCTTTCTAAGATGTGAATACACACCCACTTTGCACTAAGGTTAATAAATAGTATGACATACTCCCTGGCAGTTTACATCTTCGCTTATCTCACTGCTGACTTTTGTCCAGAAGTTCCCATGGAAGGGGTATATATTTTACTTAAACTTCTTCTGGCTCTATTCTAGCTCATGATGTTCCTTTGCTGATGACAGCAATGATTTTCCACAAGACACTTTAAAATAACCATGCCAGGAGCAGTGCTTCAGTTCAACAAACTGAACTGTGAGAACTGGTAACTAAACTGTTACTGAGACCAATCCTCCCATCATGACATTTAAGAACATCTTGAACTACATGGGGACAATTTTAAAACATCCTGACATAATATCAGCAGTTAGCAACTAAAAGCTTTCAGGCTTCCATCAAAGCACAGAGACCTGTAGGGGAAACATAACCATAAGAGTGAAATAACAAAATGAAAAATATAAGTATTAATAATCACCTAGTTTTGGAAGAGAATAGTTCAAATTAAAGTACTCTTCAAAGAAGTCAAATATAATTTTTGTTACATTTGCTGCATATTCTGCTGTGTGTAGTTGCAGTGGTTGGGCATAAACCCTCAGCTGTAAAATACAGAGAGACAATTAGAGCAGTCTTCAGTTAAAACAAATTAGAAGGTAGCAAGCATTGAAAAGTCATTTAACATCCATACCTCTAACACTGTAGATATTCTCAGAGAGATTGCTCTGAAATTCTGTTCCTTAACACATTTATTCAACAAAGTTTTTCAAATGTTGTACATAAGAGAGACCAGGTCATGGACATTTCCACACTATGCCTAAATTGTACAACTGAAAGACCAATGTCCAGAAGCTCACAGTGGCCAAGCATGGAGCAGGGCCTGGGTGAATACTAGCCCCTCCCTTGCCAAGGCCTGGTTTTCTCAAGAAGAAAGCCTGGGAGAACGCAATCAAAGGGAACCCACTTGTTCTGAGAAGTTCCTTGATCTGAACTGATCCCATCAGACCAATCGGGAGGAGCACACCTGTCCTGAAATGTGTTTGAAGCCCGTAACACCTTTTTTTCTTAAATTTCTTCCTACCTTTCCTACCTACTGTCATCATAATTTCTTCTTGTGCTTGTACATTTCAGGATCTCAGACCCTCTGAAGACAGTGCATTTCCCAGATCTGTAACTCCTCCTGGATGTGCTGGCCCATGCAGGTTGAATGGCTGTTTTCCCAGGACCTCAGGCCTACAGCCACCTGGGCACAGCTGTGGTGTCTGCTGGGCTGCTGCGCCTCTGGAAATCCCAGAAAAAATCAGCTTGCTTCCCACTGGGCAGGTCCAGGAAAACTGGCACGTTTGGTAGCCCTGTGTGCATTGAGTGACCATTTCTGTGCTCCTCTTGCATATCTGAGCACGCTTTTTTCACTGAACATGAATAATGGTGTGTCGAGTGCTGACCTTTCCATCCTTGAGGCTTGGGGCTGGGACTGCTTTCCTTGACTTACTGTCAAGCAAGAGGAAACCTCAAGGCCTGGAGGACTAGAGTCCTTATGGCACCTGTAACCGTGATGACAAGGTCTACAGCTTGAAAAAGCCTTTTGGGGTGTCTCTACATTGGGAAGACAAAGATTGACTTCAGAGTTTATGGAGTCTTTTGGGAGTCTTTCCCTCAGTCTCTTTGTCCCAAAGCTCAAACAGATCTCTGCCCCAGAGCAGAGCCACAGCACTGGAGTGTCCACTGTAGGCTGTTCTCATCACTGTCCCTCAAAATCTTCAGTGTGGAAAGTAAGAAATGTCTATATGGAGTGAAGTTTCTGGGTTTTGGAAAACCAATCTCATTTTTCAGGCTCTGTGTCTCTTGTGAATGGGCCACATTCTTCTGGCTGTTGGTGTGGCTTGTTTACTCCTCAATGCTGCCTTGCAGCCAGGAGTTCAGGGTCCAAACTGAGCAAAAGAGCCAGCCTACTCTAGGAGGCCTCTTGGAGCCAGACAACACATTGATTTCAGTACTGTGAAATTACACTTCCTCTGACAAGAGGAGAGGATGAGAAAGTGGTCAGAAATAAAGCTGAAATGAAAAAAAACAACCCCAAAAAAAGCTTATGAAATTCAATCGGGAATCTATTCCAGCCAGGGGATTTCCCTCAGGGTCAGTTTGCAATTACAATCTGCAATTTCCACTTCAGTAAGCTCTTTACCCAATTTAGCAGTCTTTGGTCCCCTAGCTGATCCATATTAATGGTGTCCAAAACCTTCAGCATACACTAGAACTGTCTTTGAGTTTCATCTGTATAATCTCCTCTGTGATTTTCCAAACCACATTTGGTACCTGACAGGTAATCAGCTCAGGAGCATAATTTCCAGCCGTGGGCACATTTCCTACCATCGATTCCATTAATGTCTTTGTTAGGGCAATGGTTTTCAGAGCAAACGGCAAGAGTTTTTAAATAATTCACTGTGTCTTGTGAGCTGTATGCTGTGTTATTGTTTATGAAAGCAGTATATGAATCACATGGATGATTTCTGTTGCATGAGGGATTTATTGCTAGCAATTTATACAGCAAACTATGAAATGTTCTTCTCAGCAGTTGGTGAATCTAAATACCTCATTGCTCAGCTGGGCTTCAAAGTTTTTGAAAAGGAATTGTTTGTTTAGGAGAAGGACTTTCTAAATACCTTATTAAAAGCTCTAAAGATAGCCTGTTTTTCCTTGGGAAAAGGTAATTTTTAGTGATGGAGTTTATGTGGCTCCCTTAGCTAAAAGAAATCTTACACATATACTATTATTGGTAAAATGATGCACATGCTAAGAGAAAGGAAATGGTTATGATTTTAACCTCATGGAAAACCATTTTTTCTAGTGCAGGCAAGTCCTCAAACATTGTTTAGTGAATAGCGTTAATAAAATATGTAATAACTGAGGCCTGAATTAGAAGTCGTTTCTTCAGGCTACCTCTGAACTGACACGAATACCCCTGTTTCTATGTACACACACTTTAATTACCATGTTTCAGTGAACACTCCCTTCTATTTAGAAAAGCTACAACCAGTCAGGAACATTGTGGGCTTTCTGTTTTGCTTGGGGAAGAAACAAAAATACTGTCCTCAGAACCATATTCTGGAGCGTGGCATGGACAAGCAGAGAATTTTAACTTTTGCATCACGAAAATAGAGTTTTACACATGTCTTCAGCACTTTAAATTTTTTTCAACCACTCTATGGTCTCCAAAAGCTGCACAAATTCTGATTCTTAAAATAACTAAACTCTAGGGAATATATGTCAAGGCCAAGTAACCAAAGTCCTGTCCCGGGTAATGAATGGAGCAGCCATGCTGAAGAGCATCTGGTTAACAAAACTGTGTGGCTGAGTGGCCTAAAATGTTCTCCTGTTTTGCAGATTACTCAGCCAAACAGCAGGGATCTAAGAATATTGCATTGCTATCTCAAACTAGGCTCCATTTGCTTGGCTAAGTGTAATTTAGCCTTAGGTATTTGTCAAGAAATAATATAAGTGTTCAGCATGATGCTAGAGAGGGTGTAAAGGAGGGAGGCCTCAGCACAGCACTACACCAGGAAGTCGTTGCTAAGAACTGGATCAGCACTTAGGAGATTTATACAAGGCATATTTTCATGTCAGTGGACAGCCTTAAGTAGGGAAGGATTTTCTGTGCTTTTTTGGATAAAGAATCTAAGGAACAGCTTACTTGCTGGGGTAACAGTGATCTGGCTGGGCCTTTGCTGTGGGTTCCCTGCCCACTGGTATCACTGCCAGAGGAATAGGGGGAAAGCACTGCCAGCTCAGCTGAACCCCAAAACCACGTGTTACACCCCTAAAGGGCAAGAAAGGGGAAGCATCAAGAGCATACAGCCCTGGGATCATCCTCTGTCTCAGATTAAAAACAGATATAAACCGATAAATATTTAGCAGTGGGCTGAGCATTCCAGACTAGGTTTAGGCTAAATGAGGAGTTTATGTTGAGGGGCAAATTGTATTTAGGATTTCAGGTTGTGATTGAACATAATGTCTTGTGATCTCCTTATGCCCAATCAGCTGCACCTTCAGAGATCAGCTGCACCTTCAGAGGTTTGAATCTAAGTAAGAACTGGATTGGACTGCCCATTGCATCTAAATAAAGGAGCTATTTTAATTTTATGGATTCAGATTCAGACACACTTCATTAGGGCACCTACCAAATATTCAGCTTGTTTAGGCAGGCACTATCACTTCCATAATTATTTGCAAAGAGCTAACACTGGGTAGATGCCTTTAGCCACTGTTATAAAATAAAGAATATTAGAGACAATACATAATGGTACATAGAATTGTAGTCCTATGTCTCCCTGACTGTAAATAGGAAGACATCAAGTGCATAGATTCACACCTTTTAACCCATAGAAAACTGTAAAACATTTGTATTCATGGCCTGTGAATCTCTCATACCCCTGGACAGGTACATTTTCTGTCTCTGGGCTTCAAGTCAGGGATGAGGTTGGAGAAATAGTGCTCATTCCTCACCTATGTCCTTCTATGGGAGGTACTGATGGGATCTCACCAAGACAGGAGACAGGGAAGGACTACAAAACACTCTTGTCAAGGTCAGAGGGGCCACTGTGAACACCCAATCTGATCGGCTGCATAAAACAGGCTATAGGAAAGGGAAAAATATGTTCCTGTTTGCACTATAAAAAGAGATTATTCACTTGAACCATGTTCAGGTAGCAAGAGGACTTACAGGTTTTCCACTAGCGGATATTTTCTCTACCCACTGAAACTGGTGCACCGCAAAGCATACCAAATAAGTGCTCATGGGAACTGACTTCTCAAAAGTTGTCCGATTCCAGCCACCACCCAGCTGTACAGTTTGCTGCAGAAATGGAAAAATAATTAATTTGGTTTTTGGAATGGCAAACACATGCAGAAGAAGGTACAATATTTCTGTGAAGTCTGTGACTACATAGGAATGATAAATCCCCTCTCCAGGTTCACCTCTTCTGGCATCCCACTGCTGATGGCAGAACAGACAAATTTTTTATCTGCAATACTGCAATACACGAAATGGGACTTTGTTTTTCTGCACTAAATAAGTTGACCTGGTTCTAATTTTGCATCAAGGATTTGAAATCATTCACATACACAGGAATTTTGCCAGCAGATTTCCAGTGTATGCTGATGTGTTTTGTTCTTGAAATAATTGCATAAAATAACACTGCTTTGGACAGATCAGAGAAGAGACTGGATTCTTTCCTCTCTTAAATACATGCGATCGTGTAGGAGTCAGGGATTGCAGAGTTGCTACTTAGGATAAAGACCAGTCTAATGAATCTATCCTGAACTTACTCAGATATAAATTAGCACTTCTAATTGGTGGGTTGTTTAAATGTACTTAGGGTTTAGAGCTGATCATAGTCTTTATTTTGTAAATCAATTAAAAACCGTTCCTGATTTTACCAAACATCCTTAACTCTCAACTGAACTATATGACCAAACCTGCAACCTGTTGTATGTGATTAATTCTTTAAATATTTATTACTGCTATTCTTTATCTGCTATTGCCTGTGTGATAATTTTTTGTGCTTCTTACTGGATGACGAACTTAAATAAGACAAAAGCAAACAGTGTATAAATGACACTAACCTTCTAATAGAGATACAATACTTCATGACATATGTTTTTTATAAATACAACATAAATAAAGCACAGGTAGCGAAAGTTACAGGTAATGTTATTCCATTAGAAAAAAACTTTTTTAGAGATATATTCACAAACCCCTTTTCACAGAGATATTCACAATCTACTTTTCCATTACTTGACTCTATTTTGACTCTATTTTTACTCTACTTTGATATCTTTTGTTCTTTCAACAAAGTCAGAACTTCTGTAAAAAAATGTGAAAAAAAATCACTGATGTGAAAAATGCAAATGAAGTGTACAAGTTTCTGATTTTGCTGAACTGATTTTGCTATGTTGATTATAAAGCTCCACACCACTGAAACTACTGTAGGACGTGTAACACACAACATGCCTTGCATTTACAAACTACTACATTTCCATCTGTTGAAATGATCCGCCAAAGATCTTCCACTACTAAGAACAGAGCTACTGACTCTGTGACCACATCAGATGAAAACATGTCCTGCTATCATCTGTTTGTCAAGCCCAACATGAACCCAGCATAATCTACATTTCCCTGCCTGTACTTGGATTTTATCAAATTAATTAACAAGCGGTAGATAGCCCTTTGAAAGCTTATTTTTTTTATGTCCACACTAGAGGCAAGGTCCACGTGTAAAGGTGTAAAGTTGATCTCAAAAACCACTAAATCTTGATCCCCTCACCTTGCTTGTCAGTACCCTCACTTATCTGAGGTTTGTGAGGAATGGTACAGCAAACACTCCCCTTTCATGTTCATCAAAGTGTCTGGTGCTTTTTCAGGTATCGTAGAAATATTTTTAATAAGAATAGATCAGAGTTTAAATTTGCAAAGGATCTGGGAGGCAGCTGTATCAGATTGGTAATAGTTCTCCCAGCCACATTGCTAGAGGATAGTTAAAGTTTGGGGGACTCCTAAAATAAAACAGTACACAGTAAAGCAGACCTTTGTTTGTCTTCTGGGTGGGGCAATGATTGGGAAGATGCAAATGTCAACAGCCTGAAGGCTGGAATTTGTTGAAGCTCTTTTTATTTTTTTAACTTGGCACTTCAGAACATATTCCTTAGAAATAATACATTGAACTACACATTCAGTTAAACTCTTCATTAGAAACTCTCTTGGCTGAAAGCCTTTCAATCTTCTTCCAGAACACCCAGAGGTAGATAATTGATGCCATTGAATTTCATACAAAACTTGGAATTTGACCCACTAGGCCCAGAAATAGATTATTTAGGAAATTACAGTCATGGTGGGCTGACAAGTGTCCACACCCATGAACCAATAGATGGGACATCAGATCCTGTATTATTAAAAATAATAATCCTAGACTTTCTTGCTAGCAAGATCCTTTGCCATTGGGTTGTGATCAGCAGACCTGTGCTTTGGAACATTATGTAGCTTCAGTGATTATTTTAGAATCCCAGTCTGGGGAGCAGCTGTTTTCCAGAGTATTTCTTCTCTGAGTGCACCTGGTTTGACTGAAAAAACTGTTGATGGTTAGCAGGGGATGCTTATCTAGAGAATCTGAATAGAGAGGGACAGCTAGCTAAAGAGAGAAGAGACATTTCATTTCTGCTTTAGATTGGTCTCTGTATTGCCCTGTTGTGTGCTGACTGACCACTGGGAGTTCTAACCAGTTAACTAGTCCTGGTTTTGGGAATATTTATTAACTATCAGCTTTATAGTGTCTGGGTGGTAGGGTCTGTGAATGCATAAGGACCTTGTGATCCGTGCTACTTTTCCAGTGGCTTTACAGAACTATTCTACTTAGGCAGTACAGTTGGGAAATACATACCTGTACTGGCATGTTTGAAAGTGCTTGGTATGCTTCCTGATGGATGATGGATATGTTGTAAGTTGCCTTTTTGTTGGGCTCATCAAAGCAAGGAAATGATTTCCGTGCATCTGTTGGCTCATGATCAGTAGCTGCAATGCTCCTTAAACAAACAACATATTGGCAAGCCTTTATTACATACCTTTTAAATCTTATCTGCAATTTCTCAGTATAATTATTTAGCAATTTTACAAACCAAAGTCAACTACAAATATTTGTGTGTACTTGTCCATTCATAAAAGTATGTGACATCCCAAAAGCACAAGCTGACATCGTATAGGCATGTGCAACATGTACACCTCGAAGTCTGTCAACATCCACTAGGTTTCAGAGCAAAAGCTAAAGCCAGTTACTTGTCATCATATATTTCTAGGAGCCAGGCAATAAGATATGAATGACCCGTCATGAATGGTAAAAATTTTGCTTAAAATTTTATGCTTAAAATAAACCATTGTTAGTATCATCTGAAAGGAAATTAAGGTCCTGGTACAGGGATATTTACTTAAGTCACTCCATGTGTTGTTTACCCACTAGAGTGTTGGGATTATCATCTTGAACATCTTCTAAGAAGACACCTTGGAATTGCATAAGAGCTCCTCAAATCTCATTCTGCTTGTGTGTTTGCTTTTCTCCAGTTACCACATACAGTTTTCTGCTGGTGCTATTGTGCTCATCTGAATCCATTTAAGAAACTGCTGGAGAAAGCATGGAAGGTCCAGGTAAGCATCCTAGTACATAACTGATGCTATGCTAGCCATGCTGGAGGGGTTAGAAAGTTGTCATCTCAGTTATGCAGAAACATCTGGAGGAGTTAGACAATAGGGGTCATGTAAAATAATAAGCTGAAGGTTGTGAATGTTTGTATCGTGTCTGCTTCTCACAGTGACATTTGGCTCCCCCGTTAATGAACCGTACAGTGGCAGAATGGATTCTACAGTGATTGATGGTGAAAGGGATCTCAGATGCTTCTTCAATTAATCTGGAATGTTGGGCATTTTTTGACAGCACTTCTACAGCTGTTCCAACTATATTAAGGTAGTTATTCTTTCCAAAAAGTAATTAAAAGTGTACATCATAAATTACAGATCTGCAGCAATCCTACAAGTTCACTTGACAACCAATTTTTCAGTGTTTCTGTTGCCCCTGGCATTTTCCTGTGATGCTTAAATACTAAACTGGTCATTAGGAACTTGTAGCAGCAAGGGTCATTTACAAGCCCGATAGAGGTAATATATCTGAGCTCTTACCATTCATGTTCACTGGAATAGTAACTCAAAAGATCATGGGTAGAAAGCATAATGAACATTCACCTTACCATAACTTCAGACTCAATAGTTTCTTTTGCTTGGTAGATTGTTTGATGTCACTCTCTACTTTTTGTAGGATTTGAAATCTATTTCACAATTAAGTTAACTTGAAGTCCCTAGGGCAATGCTTCACAGCTATTGTGTAAAAAATTGGCTATATATTTTGACACATTTATGTCTTGTTCCTACACACTGATAACACTGTGATATCTCTGTTGATTTATAAGGTGATGATCCATCTATCATCATACATTTGTGGAGGCAGACAGACATCAGCACTGCAAAACCTTAGCACTACCATTCCTATGGGGTAGATGATGAGACCTCCAGGCTATGGCATACATAGAAGTGGCACTAGAAATGTGAAATAATGTAATTTCCTTTCAAACTCTATAATGTAGTTTTTAGATAAGATATTCTTCACTGGTTGATGGCTTCTACCCCTCTACTTGCTGCTGATGTGCAGAAATTTAAATGAGAACTAGAGATGACAGAGAACATTTCAGGTTCTCTCTGCATTCTCTGCTACGCTTTTTCTTTCAATTTTTGTTTCTGTTCTCTCTCTTAATCTTAATCCTAACCCCAATCCTAATCCCAATATAAATCCTAATCTCAATCCTAGTCCCAATCCGAATCCTACTACTAATCTCAATCCCAATCCAAATCTTAATTCCAATCTCAATCTCAATCCTAATTTTGTTGTTTAAGTTGTAGTTTTTATTTTAATAATTTATTGATGATTTGTGTGGAAAGATGTTCGTGGCAGAGAAAATTTTTACCTAAGCTTCATAATTAATAGATTAATTTGTATAATTAATTATTAATTCATGAATAATTAGGGATGGGGTAGTGTGTACAGGTGTAGTGGGTGTATATGTGTAGTCTGTATAGAGTAATAGTAGTATGAAAAGAAAAATATTAAAAATAGTAAGTCTGGTGCAGCAATAGAAATCCACTTGCTTCCCAGGAGTAAATTTTTAAATTTTTTTAAATTTAATTTAATTTACTTACTCTTAGGAGCAAGTTATTTTCTAAAGCTGCTAAATTTTATTTTTTTTTAAGTTTAGAGAGAAAAAGACAAACAAGAAAAAAAGACAAAGACAATGAGAAAGAGAAACACAGAACAAAGAAAAAGAAGAAACAAAGACAAAGAGAGACAAAGGAACAAGAAACACAAAGCAATGAAAACAAATAAATGGTTACTGTAAAGGTGATGGTGAAGCATGTTATATAAATAAGTTTCCTCTGTTGTTTGTTTGGTTGGATTTTTCACCAGACATCTGCTATTTTCATTTGAAGCTTTCTCTTTATTGTTTTGGAGAGCAGGTGAATAATGACTACCTGTACCCCTTTATCATGCTTTTTCACAGAATCACAGAATATTAGCAGTTGGAAGGGACCTCGAAAGATCATCCAGTCCAACCCCCCTGCCAGAGCAGGATCACCTAGACTAGGTCACACAGGAACGCGTCCGGGAGGGAGTTTGAATGTCTCTAGAGGAGGAGACTCCACAATCTCTCTGGGCAGCCTGTTCCAGTGCTCTGTAATCCTTACAGTGTAAAAGTTTTTCCTTATGTTCAGATTGAACCTCCAATGCTCCAGCTTGCTCCCATTGCCCCTTGTCCTGTCATTGGCTGTCACTGAGAAGAACCTGTCTCCTTCCTCCTGATACTCGCCCTTTACAAATTTATAAACATTCATGAAGTCACCCCTCAGTCTCCTCTTCTCCAAGCTAAAGAGACCCAGCTCCCTCAGCTGCTCCTCATAAGGGAGATGCTCCACTCCCTCGATCATCTTTATGGCTCTGCGCTGGATTCTTTCAAGCAATTCCCTGTCCTTCTTGAACTGAGGGGCCCAGAACACTATAGACTCTTAATGTATTTCTTATGTAGACTATAGACTCTTAATGTCTCATGGCCAGCAGGTCAAGGGAGGTGATTCTGCCCCTCTACTCTGGTGAGAACCCACCTAGACAACTGTGTTCAGCTCTGGAGTCCCCAATATAAGAAGGACATTGAGCTGTTGGAGCAGGTCCAGGGGAGGGCCACGAATATGATCAGAGGGTTGGAGCACCTCCCCTATGAGGACTGACTGAGAGAGTTGGGTCTGTTCAGCCTGGAGAAGAGAAGGCTCTGAGGGGACTTCATTGTGGCCTTCCAGTTCCTGAAGGGGTCTTACAGAAAAACTGGAGAGGGACTTTTCACAAGGGCAGGTAGCGATAGAACTAAGGGGAATGGTTTTAAACTGGAAGAGGGTAGATTTAGACTAGATATTAGGAAGAAATTCTTTACTGTGAGAGTGGTGAGACACTGGCACAGGTTACCCAGGGAAGTTGTGGATGCCCTCTCAGTGTTCAAGGCCAGGTTGGACAGGGCTTTGAGCAACCTGGTCTGGTGGGAGGTGACCCTGCCCATGGCAGGGGGGTTGGACTGGATAAGCTTTAAGGTTCCTTCCAACCTAAACCATTATATGATTCTATGATTCTATGATCTGGCTGAGACTGCATCCAGCTGTTGTTCCCAAAATAAAACAGTGCTGCATTTAGAACCATGATGAATTTCCATTTTGGTTTTGTTTTTGTGGTTTGTTTTGGGTTCCGCCCCCCCCCACCCCCCCCAAAGCACAGGGGTGAGTGCAAAAATCCCTCCCCTTGAGCTAATTACAGTGTTTTTCTCCTAGTCTTCCCCTAAATTCAGATTAATTTCTTCGAAGAAAATTTTCTCCTTGAGAAAGAGATCCAGGAGTGCCACGTCTGTACACTAAAGAATATTTTGCCTTTTCCTAATCAATAAAATCCTAAATGCAAATCTCCCTGCTAAAGATGTGCCCAGCTGAGCACCTTTTATAAGCCTCTTGTTCTCCTCTTACAGAGGACAGAGAGAATTCCTATAAAAAGAAAGCCATACCTTGTCACTAATAGTAATACAAAATAAAAACCAGCTTCTGTGACATGTTTGTATTATCAGTAATATTAAGGAGACAATAAAATAAAACCAGTTTTAGCAGATTCTTTGAGAGAAACTAAAGATTTAAAAGAACCCATTACACCAGGCAAAGACTCTTGTTGTATTCTGTTCCTTAATATCTGAAAATAACACTGCATCATGCATAGTAGGAAGGACAGTTATTCTCCTTTCATCAATGGGGAAATGAAATGCACAGACAGAGTAATAGCTTCACCAAAGGGCTTTAGTGCTTACAGCTGGATTCAGGCACCAGCAGGGGGAAATAGGCAGGTCTATGTCTAAAATCTCCATTCTCGAAGTTTCTGCTTTCCTGCTCCCTACGTGCATGTCCACACCAATTCAAATAGTTGCATTCCCTAAGTATCTCAAGATCTCTTCTGGGCATGTCCAAAACCACCTTTGTCCTGACATGGATTGTGTGATCTGTCTGAACAGTATTCCCATATGAGGCGTTCTTCCTAAGCCTCCCAAGGATCCCAGACTTGCAGGCATGTTCAGCACATGTCTACCTGTTTTCCACAAAATGTGGTGGGAGATTTGAATCTAAGCAACAGCAGAGTCTGGATTTGTGCCCAGTTTGTAAACAAAAGGCATTATAGCAATGCTTTGGCAAACCTTTGCCCTCACAGATAGCTGGGGAGCTGTTATTAATTCTCTCAAAAGGTCCCACTGCTTCTAACACTGCAGGGATGGAGGAGTAGGTTAATTACACATTGGCTCTCATTTTCAACTCAGCTCCCTTCTCTCTAACATCTGCTATTAACAGACTTGCTTGAGTTTTCCTATTACCTGATCCCATTTGTATTTACTTACATGACAAAAAAGGAACTATTTGGGTTGAATTTTTCCAAGGGTGATGTCTGCCTCAGGCAAAGGTGAAATAAAAAAGCTATTTCCTCTCAGCATTGGTTTTTAGTAGCAATTCAGGGGAAAATGCAATTTTAATAAGTAATAAAACCCTTCCCTTGCCATCCTTTCTCACCCCATCCTCTCACCCACCCTCAAGCCCCGTAGCAGCAACTTGGCTGGAGGTTGCTTTCATTTCAAAGCTGTACTTGTCACTATCATGTACAACCCCCCTTCCACCCTCACAATCTGCCCAAACTAACCACATGAAAAGCATTTCAGAAATCATCATTCACACATTCTTATTAGAGGCCTTATAGAGTCTAACAAACAAACTCACATGCCCAAGTTCCTTTTTGTGTTGAGTGTTTTCAAACTGCTGGCTAGGATCATCTTTGCAATTGTAGCTTCCAGCATCCAAATCAAGAAGTAGGAACCCTCTTGAAATGAGCTCACGTTTTATGCTTTCTCTAGCTCAACAAGTTCTCCTTTCTTTCTGCTGTCAGGTGCTTGGTCCTTGTATTCCTACACTGGATCTGAGGGATGGGCACTTACCTCTCCTGCTCTGTGACTGGGAAACCTGCATTCTGGTCCTGCTGTTCTGGTGTTGTGACAGACCTGGGGCAATTTGTTTAATATCTAGGTATCCTTCACCAATAAAAAGGAAACACCTCAACTTAGAAAGATGCTAAGAGATTACACTTTAAACCTGCTGTAGAGATGTCAAATGCTCAAAGTATAAAACCAAAGCACCTTCTGAGTCAAAGCAATACTGAGGTGGTAGATGGAGGAAAACAAGAGGGAAAGAGCTGGCTGGGGTTCAAGCTGTTCTCCACATGGCCTCTTCACAGATAACTATTTTTACGTATGAAAAATCAATACTTGCTTTTTTCCTCTGCCTCTTGGATGTGCTGCTGCTGGTGCCTGTCACTGCTGCTACTCCTGGCATTGCCTGTCAGTGGCTGAACGGAGCTGATGTGACTCTCACTCATGACACCATTGTCCCAGGGGAAGAAACAAGTGCCATGAAAGCACACCAGTGTTTGTTTCCATGTTCCTCTCACAGGGCTTTGGAATGGTCTAGCTAAGTTTATTTGCTAGCCATAAAGGCTGGAATGAGTTATTTCAGAAATGTAAATTTTGGAAAATGGATGAGTTTCCTCTCCATACATTAACTGTGAAGAAATGCATCTGAGCAGTGGGCAATGGCTTTTTCAAGCTTCCACCTTGAAGTAGTGCAAACCTGGGAAGCAGAATGGGTTAATTGAACTGGCAGAGCCTTTGTAATCTTTCAATAACTATTGATAAATTAAAAAGAGAGAGCTGGAGCTGGAGCATAAAAAACCCAAGTCAAATATAACCTTCATCATTTGGACTTTCCTACCCTTAATTTAAACCAGCTGCAGGAGGGACAGGGAAGTTCTGTTTTGGATATTCCTCAGGCTTACAATGTCAAGGAGGGACGATGTCAGGAAAACTACCACAAGAGCATTTTACAACAAAAATGTTACTTTGGGGAGTGACAGGAGAAAGTGCTGAGAGCTGTATGCTATTTATTGTACTACAGAGATAAAAACACACCTCGATCCCTTCAGCTTTCTGAGGGAGCCATTTGTAAAGCTCAAGAATAACCTGGGACCAGTAAAGTTTGAAAAGTTTTTCAGAATAATAACAACAAACCCCTCATCTCTTCAGCCCACATTCATTTGTCAACAGCCAAAAGTTTTTGAATACAGCATCTTCCTTAGGGGAATGAGGAAATGAAAGAACAGCCCAGAAATGTCAGCAAGTTGGTGAGAGACAAAACTGAGAAGCTGAACAGGAATAGAGCAGGCCTGAGCAAGTAGAAATAGAGAAGAACGTTTAATAAATAAAAGAAAAACTGCTTTACTTGATCTGTCCATTCTCAGTGTAGGTGGTCCTGTAAAACCCAACCAGGGAACCATTCAGCCAGCCTTGAAACTTCATGGTGAGTACATAGGGATCACTTTCATCAGTGACAGGGAGCTCTGCTTCTGCCTTCATCACTATGTACTCCTGTGGCTTGTACTCAAAGCAGTCATTCAGAGCTATCTGCTGTCCTGAGGATTTCCAGAGCGTGGGCATTTCTGTAATCTTGGTCTCTCGCAGGTGGAGCCACAGGTAGCTGGTAGATCTTTCCAAAGCAATAGATATGCTGACTGTCCCAGTGTAAATGTCTGTCTCCATTTCAGGCTTAATTTCCAGATCATAGTGGACAGGCTTGACATAAGTGGGTAGCCTGAAATGTCTCCAGTCTCCAGTTTCATCATTTTTAGCAGGACAAGGACCCAAATCCACCGGGGGAGGAGGGTTTGTTGGCTGATCTGTTCCTTCTGAAGGTTCCTGAGATTTAGGTCTGCTCAATCCCACACCAAGTCCCACAGCAAGACCTACAACGACCACGACGCCACAGATTATAGCCACATGCTTTGCCTTCATGCAGTACCTCTTGGACTTCTCATCGTCAAAATCCATGCCCTCCATCTCAGCTCCTGGGTCTGTTCTCAGAGCAAAACATTAACCGTGAAAAAGCTTGTTAGTACTTCAGGACTCGTATTCAGTAAACTCAGCAAACTTGGTTTGTATTTTAATTGTGTAGCTATAGCTGTTCTCTGCCTGTCTCCCCCACCTCGCTTTCCACGAAACACTCAATTAATTAAAGACAACATGCATTTGGAGGAAATGTGAATGATCAAAAGGAGTGCAGCTGGACTGAGAGATGGAGGGAGCCGACACAGATGAACATTGTTCCTGCTGGACTCTCCTTATAAGCAGCGCAACCCCACCCCCAGCCCCTCCTGCTCTGGCCTGAGTTAAATATAAAACAGCGCTGTGTTAATCAGCAGTTAGGAGATGATTGAATGCCAAAGCTCTGTCAGCAGCTTTCAGAAAGAGTTTGCAGACAGAGGTGCAACTGCTGCAAACCCTCAACCTTTGCCACTACCTCTTCCTTTTCTGCTGTGTCTTGTTTGGGTTTTTGAGGTTTGGGGTTTTTTTACTTTTTCCTTTTACTAGCAAAGATTTCCTTGAATTTCCACCCTATAGCTTGTGAAATGACATCTCCAAAATCCAGCAAAAATCACATACATCTTTCAAGGCCTTTTTAACTGTTTCCCCTCTTTCCTGGGCTCATTTAGCTTTGCTGAGTAATTCAAGGCAGTCACGGGCAGAAGAATGCACAGAGGGACAATAGATTTTGATTGCTGACTTCAAACTTTAAAGCAGGTCTAATTCCTCTCTTGCTCTCATAAGGCAAATTTTCCAGGACACTGCTCATAACCATGCATGCAAGCTGGCAGCCTGGGGCAACATTGCCTTGTTGGTCAGCGCAGTGATAGTGCTGCCTGTGAACCCTTGTTGTGAGGGACATTTCTAAGTATACAGTTATATGATATGCATACTACAGATCTAATTTAGCGTTTTACTGCATGTCATCACAATGTGGTGCTTCATTGAAATAAATTAATTGAATAAAGCCTGATTCTGCTTGGAGGATTTTATTGTAAGTAAGGCCTTGCTAAGCCTGTGAGCAAGACGTTGCTAATGCAGTATGAAACTGAGTACAGCAGTAGTCTTGACCTTGTTTGATGCTGAGCTGACGGAAAACAGTGTAGATTGGAATCTCAGTACCTGGGTCTCTTAACCCTTTTTCTCCACTTATAGAGCCCACTGGAGTAGATTTTAATCAGGCTCCATGCAGTTTGGCTCCATGCTTCCTCTTTTAGTTTATTAAGAGACAGACTAATGTCACTCTGCACATCAGTTACAACTCTCTGACTAAGCCTCTTTTTATTTTTTTTGAGATGGATGAAGTTTCAGCTGGATGGATTGATTTAGACCCTAGAATCAGTCAACACATGCTCTGAGTGACATGCACTGAACGACAGAAGGAGCTTTTCCAGGATAGACTTCATCCAGTCTGTTCAGAAATGGATCTGCTCACAAGCTTTATGTCTCCCTTTGAGATATTACCATCCGCCACAGGGAACTTTAGCCACCCAATCCACATCAGCATTCTTACAGCACACTACTATTTATATAGCAACTTGTTTTAAAGGCAAGATTTTCAACAGAAACTGAGAAAAGAAAAGGTCTTTTTTGCAGACCTTCAAGTTAACTCTTACTCAGATATTTTCAAAAGTGAAAAGCCAATGCAAAGAAAAATCAAACAGAAAGCTAAAAATCTGTTTTACATTATGTCTGTTTTTATTGTTTATCATTTTTCTGCTGTGATCAAAACTAGATATGACATGGGAAACCAGTGTCCTTTAATGGATTGGGTAAGAATTTAATTTCTAGCATCAAAGCCAGCATTGAAGATCATGGTCTTAACATTTAAAACAATTTCAGATTTTCTTTGGTTCTCATTGGAGAGGACAAGGAGAAAGAGTGACAACAGATTTTAAATAAGACATCTTAAGCCAGAGCAGGCCGTAAGTGATGAGGTAAACAGTGTGTCTTGATTTCAGGCTTGCTTTTTACATCACTGCCATTTTCATTCTCCTTAGTCATGAGTTTTTCTGTTACATTTTTAATCTGAAGATGAAAAATGCTGTTTGAGCTTATAGACTGCAGAGCAGATTATTTACTGTAATTATGAAAAGACTTGCAGAAGATTTCTTCACTGATAACACTTATCTCCTTCAGGAAGAGCTAGAAAACGTGCGGATGAGCTGGTCCCAAACAGCAAAAATACATGTTTTTCTTATACTAAACATTAAAAACAACTCTAGCAGTAGAAGTCATTAGAAGCTAACAAAGAGTGACAAATGAAACAGATAACATATTTCTGATAGTGGTAGTTATGAGCAGACTTATGCCTCCCATATCAGAAATATGCATTGTTCCCAGCTGACACCACTGAGGTCAGCTGACAGAGCAAAGAAGCTGCCTAACTGCCAATGACCCAATATATATGTCCAACGATAAGACAGGACTCAAACTATTAATTCCTCTACACAGAAGAAATAAAGGAGGGCAGAGATCCCAAAAGCAATGCCAATGCTCTCCCTGCTTGGCTGTCTCCAGATAGAGAGGGGCAGGGAACAGGATCTGCCTCTCCAAAGGGGAGAGCACCATGGCCTTCATCAACAACATATACATACTTTGTCTACCCTTTCCTCCTGGGAATAAAATTATGAATCCCCATATAGAAAGTGGGAGAAGGCTCACCCCAAGTTGCTCCAGCATAAACCACAAGCATGACTGCAGGCAAGTGCTGGCCAAGCTTGAAGGGGTTTAAATTGCTTTAGTTTAATTTCTAGAAAACTGAAAAGAGGTTAAAACCATCTTAGCAGTCACCTGGACAACTTGCTATTGTCTGTTTAGTGTTGATTTTTTATTGAAGAAGTTTCACCTTAAGTGAAAAATTTCAGTCTACATCAGAATTACCACACTAGCTTAACCCTGCCTCTTTGGCTACCTAAAATGAAGAGGGGTTTGAAGTTACCCTGCTCTGTCATGACATTGCTGGTGGGGACATGTACGTGCCTATAGGAGCAATATCCAGATGTCTTTTCAGGCAACTACCAAGAATATAAATGAATCCTACATTTTTATCCCAGTTTGTCAGCCACTCCAACATAATTTCCAATTTTACATTCAGAAAATGAAATAAAATTTCTGCAAGTGACAGCAAGGATCAGCACTAGCACAGGCCTGCTGCAGCATTCAGAGGGAAGTAACATAGTCCCAGAAAATCCTTAATTGAAGCTGACAATGAGAAAAGACCTGCACTAGAAAGCATCAAAGACATGGAAATAAAGGGAGTATACTTTAAAAAAAAGAAAATAAAAGGAAAAAACCTCCAGTGCAACTCACAACAAATGAAACTCCTCTGAGCCAAGTCCGTCCTTCGAATAGCATGAAATAGATACTGAGCCTAGGCCAAGGAGATCTTTGGCTCCCTGTGTGCAGGGACATTAAGGCAACCCAAGGGCAGCAGAGTCTAAGCACCTCTGATTTCCTTCTGTTCTCTGAGATCCCCCTGCTACAAGATTTAGGCATAATAAATGGAGCCTCTCTGTCTCCATCAGGAGGAATTTGGCTCTCTTTGTGCTAAACTAACACTCCTCGTTAGATTTGTCATTGCTGTCATGACTGCTTTCTGGCAGATCTGCACTTGTAGACTTCTCCCCTGTGGCCTTTTACAAAAAGAAAAAAAGAGGTTTGAGACATTAATTTGAGAAATGTGAAACTGGTTGTGGTGTTCCACCAGGTCACAAACGAACTATGTCAGAAATAATTCCTTGTCCGGTGTTTTCCTATGTGTGTAATGACTGATTTTGCTTCCTTCTCTGGCTTTGAACACCCTCTAGCAATCGTTAGTCCCCTAGAGTTCACAAATCTTTGTAATTAATGGTTTGCAGTGGTCCTTGTTCCACTCACAATGTTTTCTATGACGGTTTTTAACTACAAAACAAGTCCTTTTGTATTTGTGTTGTTTGGAAATGCAAATATGTTGAACTGATTTGAGAAAGACAGTCAGTCTTCAGTCATAGTTTGTTCCCCTGTATATCTTTGAAATCTGTCCCCAGCTGTGGGGTACTGTCAGTTGCCATGCCTTGGGAGGACTGCGTCATCTCCTGCCTCAGACTGACAAGCTCCATACATAACATGCTGGTTGAAGCACAGTGCAGTCCCACCGCATGTTCTGGGTTCTGCTGTGTTCCCCCAGCAGATCAGTGCTGGATGTTTTATTTATCACTAGGGTCAAGGCTGAATGGAGTGACCTCAAAGCCTCTTCACAAGGAAGTACTGTGAGTTACCTTTAGTAGAGACTTCGTTTCCTTTCTTTCTTTTTTTCTTGTTTCAAATTTGTCAATGTAGACTATGTGCCTCAAAATATGAATGTCTTATAAACAAAGCCAGACAAACTGTATTCATTTGCTTCACTATATTGTATCGTATCATCGTATCATATCACAGAATCACAGAATCGCTCAGTTGGAAAAGATCTCTGAGATCATCACGTCCAACCGTTCCTGTCTACCCACTAAATCATATCCTTAAGTACCCGCCTGGACGCCTTCCTGTGCAACCTCATCTAGGCGTTCCTGCTCCGGCAGGGGGATTGGACTAGATGATCTTTTGAGGTCCCTTCCAGTCCCTAACGTTCTGTGATTCTGTGATTCTGTGATACCTCATCTACCCGCTCTTTAAATACATCCAGGGATGGTGACTCCACCACCTCCCTGGGCAGCCTGTTCCAGCTTCTGACGACCCTCTCAGTAAAGAACTTCCTCCTTATCTCTAACCTGAACCTCCCTTGGCACAGCTTGGTGCCATTTCCCCTTGTTCTATCGTATCGTATCGTATCGTATCGTATCGTATCGTCTTCCACTGCCATGCTACCAAGATGAGCTTGCTTGGGGTTCTTTCATTCTAATCATTAATCCTTAATACAAAACCAGAACAATAGTCTGGATCCTGGTGATTACATTTCCAACTTTCCAATTCTAACATGTTTTATTATTTTTACATTTTAGTATTCCATTTCTTGTCAACACCAGCCATTAAAATAGTTACAGTTTATGGCTCTGCACTTCAAAGTCTAGCTTCCAATATGAAATTTCCTTTTGACCTTTAAAAACATGCCTGAGGAGAGTTCTACTGTATCAACAAAATACAGTTTAACTTACGTGGACATTTTTTTCAACCTCACTCAACTTACATCTTGCTTAAAAACTTCCTAAGCAAAAGTGATAAAAGCAACAATCT